CCCGCCGAGCAGGGAGCCCGATGCGGGGCTCGATCCCAGGACCCTGGGACCGTGACCCGAGCCGAAGGCAGACGCCCAACGACTGAGCCACCCAGGCGCCCCTCCCAGCACAGAATTTGGGAGCAGCCTGACATGTCCATTAGTCTAGGGTTAACCACGCAGGCCTGTGGTGTGTTCATGCACTGAAGGAATGCTGTGTGGCCGTGAAAGGAGATGAGCGCACGTGGAAAGTCCCCTGAGATGGGAGTAAAAGCCGGTGTAGGTGTGTGTAGGGTGCTGCCAGCTGTATAAAATGGCGAGCCTACGTACGTGTTTGCTCAAATAGTGTAAGATATTCTAGAAGAAAATGAGGAATTCATAACAGTTGCCTGAGGTGAGGGGGATTGGATGTCTACGGATGGGGCACTGGGGAGGCCAGGACACATACTGTTTTATGGTTTTTATGATTTTTGAACTGTGAGTTTTTGTTGTTAAAAACTAAAAACCAAAGACTATTTTACATGACCTCCGTAGCACACATCCCCCACATCACACCCAAGCGCCCTTCTGTGGTCGTTTTGCTGGAAGTCGCTGGGCCGAGTGTGGGCTGTTTCAGGACTCCGCTCTGGCCCTCTCATCTGTTTGCGCGTCCTCAGGCCCTGGGCTCTGTTGCCTGCACTGCTGCAGGTGCCCGTGAAGTCTCGGAGCGCGCAGCCTCCAGCCTTGTTCTTCTTTCAGAGCTTTTTGACTGCTTTAGGTCTTTTGCATTTCCATATGTATTTTAGAATCAGCGTGTCCATTTTAAGAAAAAAGATGGCTGTAATTTTTATCCCATTTGTTATTAACAGCTTAATAAAACTGAGTAGTTCTGAATCTAAGACGGAAATTTTGGTCTAGTGTTGTGTTTGAAGTGTTTTGTTTGCAGAGGACTATTGTGGTGATGTCTGGTGAGGAAATACAGAGAGCAGTGTTTTCTCTTTATTAATGAGTCTACCCGAGAGAATAGTGGGGAGACCAGGTAAGATGAGGACAAAAGTTCTTTGACCTGGAAGTTTGGATTTTAGGAGAGTAGCAAGAAAGAAAGCATAATGTTTTACTGGGGTGCTTCTTTCATCTTAAATCTTAGCTGTTCAAAAGCCAGGCAGAGAATGATTTAGCTGTGAGATCTCTGGAAAGATGGAGAGGCAGCTAACAGGAAGTGGGAGTGGCTGATCGTCCACCACGTCAGAATGACAGGGGTCTCCTGCTACGCGGTCAGACCCTGATCATGCTTGTGTTAATAATGGACACACTTAACATTTGAAGTGAAAGACCAGTTACCGATTTGCTTGTGGTCTTGTCTGTTGCAGATACCAACCTGCTGGTGATATGTTTGGGTAAAATAAAACTTCAGGTAATTGAAACAAAACAAATCAGAATCCTGAGCTAATTAGAATTGTTCTGCATTATTTGAGAAAGCGAATCAAAGAAAAACAAGCTAATGTGGGGAGTTTCTGGAAAGGCAGACACGCAGGAAGTGTTAGTTATAAGAATCACCCCGGAACCTGGCGTTTGGTAAGAGTGCCAGTGGCTAGTTCCCATTCAAGATGGTGTAGTCTCCGTGAAGGCCTAGGAGTCAACCTTTTTAATGTGACTGGGGACAGACCGTGAACTTCTCAGGTCCTGGCTCTGTGGCTGGGCTGTTGTGCTGAGATCTGGGATGTTTCCTGGTTGGTATTTCTTGCAGCCAGGTTGGAGCTCTGAGGTCTCGAGTCTTGAAGAGCCCTTGCTTACCTGAGTTCTCAAGTGGAGGGCTTTCTCTTTCCTCTGGATTTTTCCCTCTTGGGAATGGTCTGTTGCTGTGCCTGTTCTGAGGTTGACATTTACTGATGGCAGAATTGACCCATGAGTTCTCATGTGGGGAAGGTGTGATGCTCCTGCTGAGGGTACTGTTGCCCAGAGGAACTCAGCAATCTGGAGTTGTCAGCTCTGCTCCTTGACCTGTTGCTTCCATTCTGCATTGGTGTATGCATCGGGGCCTGCACACCATCGTCCTCCGCCTTCCTGTGAGATTGCAGGCAGCATAGTAGAGCAGGTGAATGGTGAATCCATTCGTTGGCCATTTTGGTCTTCGGTTGAATCTGCTTTTGCGGTGGTTGTGAAATCGCACCAGGTAGCTAGGTGTGCTTGAGTGTTTGGGCAAGTGTTTTTTGCTGGTGTGGTTGTTAGCCAAACCTGCTGTTCAGGATCACAGCTCAGTACACTCACATTCACAACCAGTAGCCCATCTGGACCGACACTCAGGCAGGGAGGGCGCAGGGGAGGTGAGGGAAGAGGGAAGTTGTTACAGCTGCCAGATGGAGCCTCAGACTCATCACTACCACCTTCTCCGGAACCTTGAAAGTACTGCCTCTCACCCTTAATTGCCAGCCTCACTCAGTCATTTTTCTAGTTAGTTGGCCGTGGGCTCTCTTCTGTGAAGCCACTGCCTCTGGTGGGGTAAGGGCTGAGAGCCGGGCCCCCATACCATCCTCTCTGCCTGCCTTACTGCTGGTGGCACTGGTGCCATTTGCCCCCCAGTACCACTGTGAGTCACAGTGTTGGGTGTGGGCCTTGGGCTTAGTTACTGTCTTTATTTACTGTAATAACTTTTTCAGAAATACCAAGAGGTGTCTAAGTGGAAGTGTCCCAGGAGGTTTCTGGGGGAAGTCATCAGTAGCATCAGATGCTCAGAGACTTCCTGGAAGGGGAGGTGTGAATATGTTCATCTGGATTTTCAATAGAAGGTCATTATGACCTTGGCAAGAACAATTTCAGTGAGGGTAGAAGCTGCACTACTGTGGGCTGAGCTATAAGTGGGGTGAGGAAGAGGAGGTGGGGGCAGGTGGAAGGAAGAGGAGGAAGGTGAGCTGCAAGGAGAAAGGAAATTCAAGCAGAGTTTTGTGGGAGGCTTTTGTTTTAAGAGGTGGAATGACTTGAAAATACTTAAATGCTGATGAGAAAGATCCAGGTGAAAATCCTGGAAAGGGGGCAGGTTGTTAGAGCTAGGTCCTTGAGGAGAATGCATGTCGGTGGTATTATCCCCATTATACAGAGGAGGAAACTGCCAGCTATAGGTATTTGTACAGGATTGCCAGCCGAGAAGTGACTAGGTCAGGATTTGAACGCTCCACCATTAGAATCTGTTTTCTTTCTCCTGCTGTTTTTCTCTTGTCTGGAATGTCTTGCTTGGAAGTTTGTCTCTCTTCTGTAGGCAGTAGACGACCTCGAGGCTTTGGAGCAGAGGGGCTATAGGACAGTCGTGGTCACGCAGCAGCTGTACGGTGGGCTGGAGGAGGCCGGTGTGGTCATCTAGGCTAGCTGGCCCTGGAGAGGGGAGGCAGCGATGGGCCAGAGGGTGCTGCCTGCCATGGGTGGTGGACCAGGTATCTCTGGGGTTCAGGAGTGATGTCTCCGACGTAGGGAATAGGGTATCCACTTTAGCTCTCTGTGTCAAAGTGTTGTAAATTTTTCTATTCACGTTTCACATTAATGGGCCGAAGTTGGTGTTTTAGGAAATTTTTAAATTATGAGACTGATAATCATAGTTATCATTTGAGAGTTTACACCAACCATGATACTAATTAGTTGTAATTAACCCTCCCAACAGTGTTATACTTCAGTGCCTTATAATGGCAATGCTTTTTAAAATACTGATTTATTCTAATTTCTCTACAGAAGAGTCACAGTTTCTGGTATAGTCATTTGAAATGAATTTTCTTGAATATAAAGATTAGTTCCTTTTTTATTTTGCTTAGAAAGCGTTTTCAAGATTACAGGGACAACTGACTGTTCCCTTCTGTGTATGTTTTATGTAGTTTTGGAAAATATGCCCCATGGAGCATATTTTGGTTCGTCTGGAGTCAGATTCCCGGCCTGTGTCTCGGCGCCTGGTGAGCCTTGTCTTCAACTCTTTCCTGCCCGTGAACCAGCCCGAAGAGGTGTGGTGTGAGCGCTGCGTCACGCTGGTGCAGATGAACCCCGCAGCCGCCAGGACGTTCTATCGGCAGGCTCATGAGCACACCGCCTGCACGAACATAGGTGGGGGCGCCTGCATCTCCGTGCTCATTGTGTTGCTCCCTAAGGTGTAGCGAATGCCCCATAGCCTCAGTGTTGAACTCCACGCTCCAGTGCACTTTGTAATGATTCCCTTTAAAATGGTGTTTTTAGTTGTTTGGGATTATAATCTCACTGTGAGAAAGATAATTTTGTGGAAGAAACATGTACGTTAACTACCGATGATTTTAAACATTTCAGCAAAGCTGATTCACGTGATTCGCCACTGCTTGAATGCCTGCATCCGGAGGGCCATGCGCGAGCACCACGAGAGCCACGAGGAGAGGGAGAAGGAGAACGTGAGTGTGCTCGGGCTTGCCCCGGCCCGGCTGCACCGGCGGCCGTGTTTCCTCAGGGAACACAAGGCCCCTGTGCCCCTTGCTTGGAGAAAGTCAGAACGCTGGCATTGCCATGGACTGTTATGTCAGCAGTATTTTGACTTCCCATGATCCCTTCAGTATTGGTAATTCAGCAAGTTATTGTAGAGGATCACGAATAATGTTTCTGAGAGAATTGCTCTACATCCTTTGTAGTTCATTGTGGAGCTTGGGTAGGATTTAACACAGGAAAATTTACTACTGGTAACACCTGTCCCAAATTTTCTTGGCCTTAAGCTTCTCTGTATATTTTAATTCGACCTGGGTGTAGCATACACCTGGATTGGATTCTGGATGTTACCACATTTTATAATCAGTGGTGTTAATGTTCTTAAGGATATACTCATAGCCACTGCTGTGAGATTCTACTAGAAACATCTGGGGGTTGAATTTCTAGGAATGAGCTTTATTTAGAACTATTTATTTATTTGAGAGAGAGCACAAGCAGGGGGAGCGGCAGAGGGAGAAGCAGACTCCCCGCTGAGCAGGCAGCCCGATGCGGGACTCGATCCCAGGACCCCAGGATCATGACCTGAGCTGAAGGCAGACGCTTAACCAACTGAGCCACCCAGGCGCCCCTAGAATTATCTTTTAAAAAGTAATTAATTGGGGCACCTGGGTGGCTCAGTTGGTTGAGCATCCGACTCATGATTTTAGTTCAGGTCACGACCTCAGGGTCGTGGGATCGAGCTCGAGTCCGGCTCTGTTCTCAGCTGGGAGGTCTGTTTGAGATTCTCTCTCCCCCTCTCCCACTGCCCCTTCCCCTGCCCGCACATGTGTGTGCGCACACACACACACTTTCTCAAATAAATAGATCTTCAAAAAAACTAATAAAAATTAAAAAAAATAAAAAGTAGTTAATCAAAGGGACTGGTTAGCTGCTATTTTATCTTCAGAATCCAGAGTGACCACTTAAAAGAAATTTAAGAGAGACACATTACTTATAAGCAGTATCCTAAGCTTATAAACAAACTTTCATGCTTATGTACATCTAAAGTAAAATTTGGGAGTAGTTTTGTAGTACCCAAATAGATTAGGAAACTGGCCTTTAAAAGAAGTCGCAAGAGACAGTCTGTCCTTTTGCTGAGACCTGGTCCTGCATGTAGGCCCCAAGGCGAGGTCCTTGCATACAGTTTGACCCTGCCTCAGTCCCCACCTGCGTCCCACCACCTCTGACACAGGCCTCTTTGTAGGAAAGGGTGTCAGGTTTGCTCACGGGTCTCACGCTGGCCTGACGACTTCTGCACGCACCCCAGGGACACCTGTGCCCATGGGCTTGCAGCTGGAGGGCCACCACTCCATCAGCCTAGACTCTGTTTAAACAAGTCCTCGTCTCTTGGGGTGCCCGGGTGGCTCAGTCGGCTAAGCAGCTGCCTTCGGCTCAGGTCATGATCCCAGGGTCCTGGGATGGAGCCCCGCATCGGGCTCCCTGCTCAGCGGGA